TTTTTTAGAAATTAAATTTATTTGTATTTGTAGAAAAGTAGTGGTTATTTAGCAGATAAAGAGTTTTGAATTTCTTTAATTGTTTTAATTTTTTTGAATAGAATATGTTTGTTAGCTGCTTTGATCAGAGCTTTGTATATTTAGTTTTATATAAAAGTAAGTTAATTTTGATTTATAATTAATTAGATTTTTAAAAAAATATATTAAAAATTATAAAAGGTTTGAAAAGCATAGTAATAAAAATATTAACATCTGCTTGATATTGTAAGGAGTAAACTCTAGAAACTAGTATAGTTGTGTATTTGATTATTAAAAAAGTTTTCTTTCTTAGTTAAAAAATGTGTTTTAGAGATACCTAGAATTTTAAAGAAGCTATTGTTCAAGATTTCTGAAATTGAGAATTTTTTGTTGAGTAAAGCTATTACTTTTTAGAAAAGCGATTTTTATAGGAATTGAAGCATATTCTGAAGTAGAAAAGGAATTTAAAATAAGAAGTTTTGGGATTAATTTAGAAAAAGTTCACAAGTTTATAAAGACAGTATATTTGTAGATAATAATAGTTAAATTTGAGAAAAGTATATTGAAAGAATTTTAAAAAAAAGCAAAATATGATTTTGTAAAAAGGAGGTTTTATATAGTAAGTATATATATACTTCTTCAGAATTATGTTTGGTTTTTGTTTGAATAGGGATTTTAATATATTGTTTAGAAAAGAATACTGGATAGTTTGATTTAATAAATTGTATAAAGGAAGCAACTATTTGAGATGAGGGTAGAAGATGAAGTTGAAAAAAAGATAGAAATTTGTTATAGCATGTAGTAGAATTAAAAAGATCAAGTAGATTGGAAAGATGAGGTTATTAGATTTGCCTAATATAGTGGTTATAGTTAGAAATATATTATCATTATCTAAATCTTCAGGAGAGGAGTTTTTAAGAGATTTTGATTTGGGTAAAAAGTATTTATTTAAATGGATAAAATAGTAGCATTTTTGGATATTGTGAAGAAAGTATTTTGGGAAGGAGTCTTAGCAGGGTTTGATGAATTAAAAGCTAAAATCTTTTGAGTTCCTTCTATAGAGTCACTTGCCATATGTCCAGTTCTCATTGCTATGCAAAAATCCAAATTCTAATTATGCTTTCTATCATATAGTTTACTACAAAAAATTTTTCAGACTTATAGGTTATTCTGATTACACACAGTATGTGATTGATTAGGAATTAACAGTTATGATTTCTATCATGATTTACTGTACAAAAAATTTTATTATGAAACATTCTTAATGTCATGGCACCCAGTATTTGGTTAAGTCATGAATCCTACTATTGCATAATGTAAAAATTCTATTGTAAAATCTATCGACACTAGAGTTAATATCCGGATATATTTTTTATATCCGGATTACTGCTATTTTCATAATTCCTGGAACACCTGATAAAAATTGGCCGAATGATTTTTCAGCCGGTTTTGATTTCGGCATGATCTGTATAATATAAGCTATTTTGCATCATAAAGATTGTTTTACTGATTATTATAACGATAATGTCAACATTATTAAATTTTCGTTCGAATGCTTGTCTAACATGTTTGGTGTGTCTAGTTTGCACACAAAACTGCGCTTATCAACCGATAAACCTTAGCAAGAAATATCAGATATAAATTGAACTTTTATAGTACTAATATTAAAAAAATCAAATATGACCATGAATTTTGTCGACTTATTTAAAAATGAATTTCGGGTTAAGATTCCAAACGATCAAAATTTTATTATATTTGTTGAGAATACATGAAGAAATATAAGAATTATGATAAATAAAATCAATATACAGTATAGCCTTCAAAGTTCCATTTCGAATTGTAACTCATACAAATGCCAGTCAGGTTTTTCCCTCAATACTAGTTTTAATGTTTTACATCATTCATGTTTAGTGAACATGGTTTTCCTAAAAGCGACGGAAGTGTTTCAACACATCCATAAGAACACGACTTATAGAAAATATTCTAACACCTAAATGTTTGGCAATTTTTCGAAATGAATAGGCCTTCTAAATCTTTTTTTCAATTATTTTCCAGCGAAGCTGCTATCGTTTTTCTGTATTCTCGTATTCATCAGAGATACAGTATTCGCATAATATTTATATTAGTCACTTGATTTTAAATTACGTAGGTTATCGATTTTATTGAATCTATTATAAACTTAATCGGATCGGCCCGAACATCGTTCGGTCAGTTTTTATCAGGTGTTCCAGAAATTATGAAAATAGCAGTAATCCGAATTGGTCGGATTACGGATTGAACCACTAAGTTTTAGAGATTAGGCCGTATAAATGTTCTCCGGCTAACCGATCCGTATCACAAACTCAAAACCAGGTAACAACCCGGGTTATCTCAAACGACCCGAGTAACTGTTAATAAAATTGGTCAGGGATGTCTATTTTTTTCTTTGGATAACGTAAAAATTTTTGGATTTGACCGATAAGAATTAAATTTCATAATTCGGATCACATTACATGAATTTAAATTACTGACCAAATTTCGCCTTTCAAAAGTTCTCGAAATTTTGAATCGTATGAACTCAGCCAATCAGATTAATAGAAATTAACAGACAACGTGACCTATAATCAACCAAACCGCTAAAGCTATGCCGAGATTTTGTTATCCGGGTTAACCGGTTAGCAAATTGCCATCCTTTAAGAGTGCTTATACCGATCACCCAGGTAATCCTTATCCGGGCTCAATCTCTAGTATTATAGATTTATAAATAGATCTCAGCATGAGCCACCACAATTTTGTAGTTTCAAACGGCCGCGGATCACCATATTATGAATTCATGATATTTTAGGGGTTTCAAGACCCGCTCCAATCGGAAATTTAACTCTCATCGAAATAAAATAGGTATTATACGCACATCTTTGAAACAGCTGTAAAAGTTCCGATTAGAGTGGGTCTTGAAAACTCGGAAAATCTGGGAACTATCGTGAATATCCTATGATATGAACCTTCATTACCTTTTGAAAACATCTATAAAAATTCGATTAGAACGAGTCTTGAAAGCTCAGGAAATATGTGAAATATCATGATATATTAATCTTCGACTGTTCTCACTTTTTTGGAAGCAGCTATGAGAACAGTCAAGAGATAATATTAGAAAGCCTAATATATTAAGTTGAATAAAATGTAATTACATCCAATAATACTGTTATATCGGTTGAGAGGATCTATAAATTTTTGTAATTTAAGTAAATTTGCACCATGCCATTAGTCTGATTTGTAGTTATGAAAAGTTTAGATTGAAGTTAGGCTATAATCTGAGTAAAGAATTTTACGACTAATCCAACCCCAGAATTTATAACACCTAAATTAATAGGTCGGGACACAATTTTTAATCAGTTAAAAATAATTTGACCAGTCAAGTGAGTTCATTATCACGATGGACAGACCACCTTTTTTTATCATAGAGTTGTGCTGATTGGCTAAAATTTAATATCTGCATCTCTCGCTATAATCTTCCAAATTACTATAAGGATTACTTCAATTAATCGTAGTGCACAATCTCGATAACTAGCCAACCATGTCGAGAGACGCTTGTAACGATATGTATAAAAAAGTTTTTTTTTGTTAATTTAAATCAGGTGGCATTTAAGGGTTTAACATGTTTAAACCTTGCATAAATACATCTGGATACGTAGTAGGTCAGTGATATCCAAAAAATTTCCTTTTCGTGTAACCCGAACTTACGGAATTAACTAAATTTGCCCAAATAGCCAAATTTTACTAGCTAACATATTAAGTAAAATTGCCTAGTCCAAAAAACTCGAGTTACACGAAAAAGCAAAATTTTTGGACATCGCTAACTTACTACATAATTTAAATCAATAAAAATCTTTTTTTTTTCATCCTTAGATAATGTACAAAATCAGTCTATCGTACGTACGTACCTTATCAGTCATCTGATATCAGATATGCTTTAAACGTACGTACGTACAGTACGTACGTATTAGAAATGTTCGTTACCTGTTTTACTTTTTAGATATCAGATATAAATGAGGTGTACGCGTAAGCATGAGTACATGCGTGCATACGTATGTACGACATGGACTGTAACTAGAGAGTATCGTTATCTAAATTCCTAATGAACATTTAGGTTAACCCAAACCCCTTTTAAACAATATTATTAGAGCATTGACCACTTGAATATATTAAATAATAAATAACAAACCTAAACACTTGGAAAAACCTTCTGACAATGCTCTGGTAATAACGACTTAGAGCAACCTTCTAAAATTTCGTAAATATTTTGGAAATAGTTAGTGCCTTAATTAGTACTTTAATTAGAACGAAGCAATAATCGAATCTTCCATTCAAGCTACACATAAAATCATGGGACAACTTGCTGTCTAACCCCTATAAAAGTACTAAAGTTATTGTGTAACAGAAATTTTTGATATCAGATATCTAATATTGTTAATTAGATACATACATACATACGTACGTATAATCGAATAAAGAGTAAAAATGAAATGATAGAAATATAAACAATACATCTTTGCAGATTGCATTCATCCAAATAAATGAACGGTTTCAGCATGAGGCTTACTTTCTCGTTCGACAAGTGGTATTCCAGAGAATTGAAAAACTTCGTTGTGTAAATTTTATAATTATTGCGTGTAAATGAAATTTTATTACAATAAAAGGTGTGCATCCTGATTGTCAATTCATCGTGGTGCACGAATATTCGGAAATATAAAAACTTTATCACTTTTCTTAAAGAGAAAAAAAAATGCATAGTAAACCAGTAAATGACAAGAGAATATATGATTGATGCTGATTTAACAAACTTAATATATATTTTCTCTTTTTTTTTTTTTTTTTTGTTTGCATATCTACAATTGATATATACTAAATACTATTATGACTTTCACACCTCTTAAAGGCTGATGTGTCACGATCGTCCTAATGAATGAATGAATGAATCATTCAAAGTATGAAAATAGTTTATTTCAATTACTAAATCCTGAAGAAGACAACCCACCATTTTTATCAATGTCCTCCACCTCCGATTTTCTCAATTTTGGCGAACAACATACCACTTTTGCAAAAAGCTTTATAGTCATCGACCAGATTTATGATTTTGTTTATGAGCATTTTGACATTGGATCATTAATGTACTTGGTTGAGTGATAAAACTTGTAGTGCTCACATTAATTGGATTTTTTTCTCTTCTTTTAGGCTTTTGATGATGTTGCTTCGATTTCGCGCGTATAAGTTGTTGTTGAGTGTGCACGTAAAGCCGATTAGCGTAATCGTTTTTGGCGGCTTCTATCATGGATTCGGTAGGTTCATTTATTGATGAGTTTAGGGGTTGACTGGCGTCCATCTTCTTTTCAGAAAATCAAACAGGATTGTTTATTAAAACAAGGTTCTGGATGAATGATTAAGAGATTTTATGGACAAAGTAATAAAATAATAAAATCTCCAGTACATAAATACTTTAGTAATGTGGCTTTTTTAATTTCTGACGAAAAAGCGTACACTATTTATAATAATTATCTAACTAATTGTTTCTCAAAATAGTAATGAATTCATCATAACGCATATCAACATTACATGATTTCATATAATACGTGTATCTCAATTTATTTGATCGATCTTTGCGTCATAACTGTGATAATTTATTATTAACAACCGAATTTAGAAATGATATCAACTGATGACGATTTTTGTGTTCGAAATTTTTAAAATATAGTAACAAGTTATTGAACAAGATGTTTAAAATTGCTTCAAGCCAATTGTTTTTAAATATAATAAAGATTACCTCGTCTATCAAATTTCTAATATCAGAAAAAAAAAAAAATCTGTGCATATATCAAAATTTTAATTTCTACGTATCCTACGTAATTATATATTTGAACAGTCTAATTATATGATTACATATATTTATATTTTTTCTTTTGTTTCTTATTTCACATTTATTTCAATGATTTTATTAATCAAATATGGCAAAAAAAAAAAAAAAAAGATAATGGAATAATTTAACATATTATTAATCTTAAGCGATTATATATTAAATTCAATTTCTTAACTTTTTTTTTTTAAATTATCTTCTTTTAAAGACTCGTTTTATAAAATGACGTAATTATTTATTAATAAGATTCGTATGTCAAAATTAATTCTTGGCATCAGCCCGATCTTCATTGTTGTTCCGGCATAAACGTAGGGTTATTCTATCGGAAATATGCATAATTGATCGTCATTACTATTTATCCACACAGATTTTAACTATTTATATCATCATACGTATCATTATTAGGGAAGTGTCATCCCTCCCTCAAATGATTACGATTATATATAAACATATATACATGTGATCTATTAGCAGGCACCCCATTCCCCTGCTAAAAAAAATCAGATGATAAATGACACTTCCCTTACTATTCGATGATATTTACTCAATTATGCAAATTTTATGTAATACATTTATCGTTATATTGTAATGTATAATACTTAAAATTCTGATGCAATATTATCTAGTATCCTTGTTTACTGTTATAGTTTGGAGATATTAAAAGGTCTAGAATGGTCTCTTACTCAAGTAGCTACTCAATTTAATCTTTATTTCGACGATCTTTAAAAATTTCTGCATCCTAGGTATGTACGTACGTACATACGCTTGTGCGTACGTACGTACTCGTGCTTAATTTGTCAATTTTTATTTAATAATGATTTACAGTATTTAAATTTTTATGATGATAATCAGTTCTTTCTTTTTTTAATAGATACACTAACGCCAAAAGTTAGTTTATAATTAAATTATTAGATAAATTAAAATCAGATATTTGATCATTTTCTGTTTCTGATTAGTCTAAATTATTTTTTCTCAATTTTGGTTTAGCCTAATTATTCAATTTCAGTTCAGGATATATCAGTTTAGATTATCTTTATTGTCAAATCAGGTCTTGCTTATTTTCAATGACCCTGCAGTTATTTTTATTGGCTACAGAGTTTATTACCGTTAGTTACCATTGTGTAGTAAATCATAACGATAATTGACGCAGAATATTTTTAACTATATAAACTGATATATTACCTGTTACTGTCTACGAATACGTTGCTTTTCTAGAATTTTTTTTTTCATTTCTTTCTTAGTAAACGATTATTGTAACTATTACGTTCGTGCATACTTACCAAATTTTGTGTTTCAAGGATAGTTGTAAAATGTAAAATTTTTCTCTGTTGAATTTTATTTTATATATACATTGCCAGTTGAGTGTGCCTAAATTCTAGAATTCATTTTTTTTTTGTACATAAATGAGATGACGCCTTCGAATTTTTCCCATGACGTCTTAATGTTTATCTACTCACAGCCATCCGCATTACATCAGTAATGATTAACTATTATCTGAGTGTAGATGCAAACTATTTATGGTAACCCTGGTGTATATACGTACTACGTAGTTGTGATGTTTTATTTTATTATTACCTGTTTTAGCACTTCATATACCCAGGGTCTTATTCAAGAATTTCGTTTTTAAAATTGTAGTACCGGGTACTATTCACGAATCCAGTGAAGAAAGGATACGTATTTTTATGTAGAATATTATTTTGGAAAATACTTGTACTTTGACATGTGTAATTTATTTTTACTAGTTGTGATTTGCGCTTTGTAAATGTTTATTTATTATTGTATTTTTATCATAATGACATAGCGGAATTTATTAAGACAAAGAAATTATATGGTTATTTCTTATTTAGATAGAATCGCTAGTTTTTTCTAAATTTTCGTTATTTTTATTTTTGTGTTATCTATTATATAACTTTAAAAAATTTTGAAAAAAATAATTTTAATTATATATTTTGAATAACTAATAATGTAATTTAATTTATATATCTGTTGCGTCTCGGACTAACGGATGTCAATTTTTTGGCCAGCGTTAACTGATGGACACTTATCGACCTGAATTTAAGGATGTAAAGTTACTGTAATTTGTGTAATTTTTAGGGTTCCAATCCCTAGAAATTTTACGTAATTTTGAGTAAATTTCCGTAAATTAATTTTTCATATATATAATTTGTAATTTTGGACACATTAAATCAAATGATGCATAATGTTTGCCGATCTTTTGTAAAGCTGGTTTTTATATATAACGACAAGTACCGTAAATCGCCGGATACAAGACCCGGGTCTGTTACATTTCACCAATTTTAAAACCCTTTTATAGACCCGTGGGTCTGTTGTACGGACATAGGTCTGATAGCTAGGAGGGTTTTTACACGGGGGATCTCGTACTATGTAGTACGTACATGAATGTTTTGACATATTTATTTGTACAGTACGTTTGTTATCGTTATACATAGACGTTAATTTAACATTACAAACATTATGGTCGATACGGAACTTATAAATTACTTGAGGTAAACTCAAGTTGATTTATTTTGCTTGAAAATTTTTCAATAATTCATGAAGATGGCAAAAAAGAAACCGTAAAAGAGACCAAAGTTCAAAAATAGAAAAATATTTAAGCTGAAAAAAACTTTCACAGTAATTAATATTGACAACTTAATAAGAACAAACGTTTCTTGCAAGCATATGGTACATACAAAAAATCATGACAAACATACCAGAAGAATGGCTTGAAAAAGCTATTTCCGAAGGGCATATTAATTATAATGATTATAATAAATTTACACCCTATTGTAATCGGTATTGGAAGTTTTGAAAAGGTACTTAATATGAGTGGATTAACCAGTAAGAGACAGTGAATTAACAATTGAACTATTAAAAATGAGCTAATAAAATTTAGCAAACTACCAGTAATAAACTAATATAAGCAAACTAATAAATATATTTAAAATAAATATATTATTTTAAAGTAGTTGTTCAGATTAAAAAAAGTATTTTGCATCACTAGCCACTTAATTTTTCCAGTTTTCTATAAATTTCAAATTTATGTTGAGCAATATTTACTTATCGATGGAAAGCATTATAGCATTAGTATAATTTACTAATCAATACAACTGACATGTACAAATCATTTACTATATTAAAATTGTTCAAAAAAAATCATACATGATTTATATTCTTTTATGTTGAAAACAAGTTTCAGGCCAAAAGATAATTAAAAATTTATTTTGGTTTAACTTTAAATAAAGATATCATATATTAATACATAAATAGAATCAAGTACAAAATGAAACATAATAGAACAATTTTGAAGGATGCAAAAATAACTAAGAAAAAAAAAAGAAGCTGGAACACTTGTGAGAAGTTGGCAATTGTTATATACCTAAAAAGAAACCCCACAGCTAGTAAATGAAACACTGCAGAACAGTTTAACATAAGTACAAAACAATTGTGTAAATAGATCAAACAAAAAAAATGAACTAAAAAATGCTCCACCTTATGTTAGACATTTAAATATTGGTGTATATCCAAGATATCCACTTTTAGAAGCAGATCTTAAGTCTTGGATTAAGTCCTTATGTTCAAAGCAAAAGGCTATTCTATGTTTATAATTAGAACTAAAGCCAAACAACTTGCAAAAAAATCATGTTTCATCTCGCTTTACCCAACAATAAATGAATGCAAATAGAGTAACAAATGACTTGAAGGTTTTATACATTGCAATAAATTTAGTAATAGATGTCATACTACTGTTGTACAAAGATTATCTGAAGAGTTAGAATCCAAAAAAGATAAATTTTTAAATTATATACTATTTCATAGCATGCTTCACAACTATTCTCTTTCACTTATCGAAAATATAAATGAGACACCTTTGGCATTCGATATGCCTAGTACTTTTACAGTTGAAAAAACTGAAGCTTACACCATTGGAATTTGTACTACCAGTCATGAAAAATCTAATTTTACAGTTGTTTTGAGTTGCTTAGCCAATGGAACTAAATTGTTTCTTATGATAATCTTTAAATTAGTAAATGTGCTGCGACAAATATTCCTACCAGGTATTATTGTGTAAGCAAATCTAGAAGAATATATGAATTCTAGTAAAATAATTGTTTGGATTGAACAAATTTGAAATCATCATACTCCTTTGTTTATTAATCATTATTTATTGCTAGTTTTAGATTCATTCTGTAGTTATATTACAGATCCTGTTAAAAACTGGTTTAATGAAAAAATACTAATATTGTAGTTATTCCAGGTGAATTCACAAAAAAATTACAACTATTGGATATATATTTTAATAGATTTTTTAAAGATAAGATATTTTTTTTTAATATTAATATATATATATCTGATATATATACTTACAATTATGATTTTATAACTTAGTATTGCAAGTGCTACCTTGACTGAATAGGTGAGAAAATCAAAAAATTAACACCCACAGGTCATATTCAATAACCTACTTATAA